AAAAAATTTCATGATTATAAATTGCTTATAAATTGCCGATTCTTTCTACATTTGTGTTGTGTTTCTCTAAAATGGAGTATTAGAACGTGTTGGCGATGAACAGCCACAAGAATCTCTCAGAAATCAATTTCGTAGTTATCTTCATAGAATGGCAATGCTATGGATCCATGTTGAAAACGAACCAAAACCTGACAAATTTTATGTTATGAGACAACAGTCAGAGCTTGACAAAATTGACTTAATCGATATCAGCCCTGAACTTTGTAAAAGAGAAACTCTTAAAGACGTTAAACCACACAGTCTCGAATTTTTTAGATACGGCGACCGTATCAACTCTCTTCCTCCAGGTACCCTTATTAGTACTTTGGCTACAACTGACACAGACCCTCTTGTTGTGCGTTACCCAGTATCTGACTCTCAAGGTAAAGATTTTTTAAATATTTTGTTACACCTATATGTTTCATGCTCATGTTTTTCTTCTGTCTGTAGTTGTTGTTCGCTGCAATTTATCCACGTCCTGGTACAAAGAAAGGTTTCCACACAGCAGTGGTCTTTGGTACCTTATACGTCATAAAGCTGAAAAGAAATGGGAAACTTTGAGTTCAGACAACTCCCAATATTTTTTTGTTTATAGTCAAGATAGAAAGAAAAGCGAAGAGGAAGAGATTGAGAATGAATTTGCGCTCAATAAAATAGTAAAAAAAATTCAGCCTCCAGAAAACAGTGATGAACGTGCAATCAATCTTACTATTCGGGTTGAAGGTTGATAAATTATTGAATTAGATTAGATAAGCAGTTGTATGGATTCTCATTTGTTTTTTTTTCTTTTATAGGTAAGAAAGCATACGGTGATTGGGAAATAGGCGAAGTTCTCAAGAAGCTTTTACACCAAGACGGTTCTTCCATAGGCGATGTTCTTACGTTTAAAATAGGTATGATTTTTTTTTATGAGAAACTTGATTTGGTGCTGTTGTTTATGGTTTCTCGTATGATTTTTATATTACAGACGAACTTAAAAAACCGAATCCTAAAATTGCTGATGAGGAACTCAAATTAATTATTGATGAGCTTAAGAAAAAGAAATGTGCTTTCCAATATGTTGTTCGTAATGAATCAACTTGCCGAGAGTTCATTTCTGCTTTTATGACGACAGCTGTAAAATGTGTACAATTGATTGAAGGAAATCTTCAACTCAAAGCCGAAGAGTGGCTTGATGGATCCCATGGATATGGTCCTACTGACTATGCCGTTTACGTTGAGAGTATAATTGCGTTAGTTGCAGAAGCTAAGAAAGAAGATTTTGAGAAAGGAGCTGCCCAAAACATTGTGCAAATGCACAGTGCTGTAGAGGTCAGAAGATTTTTATACACTATTTACCATTATTCCATTTTTTTATTATTATTTTCATGTTAACAATATTTTTTTTTCTAGACATTAACACGGAAGCGTAAAATAGATAAAATAGATGATGGTAACGTCCCAGTTCTTATGTATGGAATTGTGACAAATGCATTACAATGGTATTTTATTCGATGGGCTGGCTCTTCAGAAGATCCAACGGTTGAAGTATCTGGTCCACATGAATGTGAATTTGATAGTGAAGATATGGAACAAGCAAAAAAAATTGCTGGATATATTGTCTCTATTCTCCAACATCAAGTTCGTGGTCTGAATGATGAAAATGACCGTCTCAAAATTAAAGAGACGTCGTGCATAATTATATGTTTACCTTTGATTGGTGATATGAAAATTTTTTAATTTGATATTAAAAAAAAAAAGAATTGAATTGAATAATATTGAGTAATTATAATAAGCTATCAATGCATCCCCCATATGGAATTTATTATAATGTAAAAAAATTTTAATCTAATCTAAATGAAAATAAAATATGTAAATAAAATCTATAATTCTTAGTGTTCACTTTGCCTTATTTTGTTGCAGTATACCCCATATATCAGATGTATGAAAAAGTTTCATAAGTAGGTAAGTTACTTTTTAGCTTTTTTTTACTATTATTATTTGATTTGATAAATAAAAATTATTTTTAATGAAAAAATACTTTTAATAGATGAACTGTATTATATAAATGTATTAGCTTCTTTTGAGCCTCTTAATACATCAATTATATTATTTTATACCAGTTATGCAGTAGGAGCTCTTCTAATTATATTATTTATTACTTTAGATGAATTTGAAATTATGTTAAAAAAAGTCATTAATTTATTAAATTATTTTTCTGGCACATGTATTCTTCAGACATAATCTGCAAACTGGACTGATAATTTTTATAACTAATGATTTTAGTACAAAGCATAATATATTAAAGCTTTATTAATTATAGAAAATTTGACTTCTATGTATATTTCATATTTTGCAAGTATTTTAACAATGACTTTTAATTTGAAGTATCATATTAATAGGAAGAACAGATAAAAATTATGAAAAAAATAAAAAAAATTCTCTATATATAATCAATTCTAAAAATGGAGACATATTATAATAAATTCAAATAAAGTTTATATTGTTCTTACCTTTTATTAAAAAAATATTTTAAACTTTTGTAGAAGCATTATTATTTTAAGCATATTCTTTTCATTTAGGATTACTTATTTATGATAATAATATAAAAAATTACATTAAATAAAACTTTATACATTGAAAGATATTATTTTTTTAAGATTATGATAGGTATTAGTTAAAAGTTTAGTATTATTTTCATTATTTAATTATTAAAATCTTAATTAAATTCATAGAATGCAAACATATAATTTAATTTAAATTTTTCAATTTGTAACTAAAAATATAAAAAGGTTTTACAAACGATATTTGCTTAGCTTTTTACATAAACATCTGATTATTTACAAGTTTCTAAGTGATTCTTCTATCCTAAATGAGAAACTGTAATACAAATTCTATTTAAAAAATAAGCTCTGAAAATAAATATTTAGTACTAAATACTGCATAAAATAATTCTTTTATTTATATAATGAATAGCATCTTAGAAGTATATTTCTATTTGTTGAAATGTCAGGTGCTTCTTGTAAATATCAAGAAGCCATTATGATTAAATTTTATATTGTAAATTTTAATTTTTTGCTATTTTAAATACCTGATAATCATATACTTTATGTATATATTATGATTGGTAAGTAAGAAAATATTTATGACATATTTTATATTAATATACAAAAGATTAACTTATTTTTTCTTTAGGATATATTGCAAAATATAAATTATTTTATATGTCATTACATTCAGAACCTACTTTGCAAGATCAAGTTTTATTAGTTTATATAGAATTTTTTCTACAGGATCAGAGAAGTTTACAAACAGAACAAATAAAAGGAGTAATAATAGTGAATATAAGTTTGTTAATTTATTATTATATTACAATTACATTTTTATTACTGGTTTTTTTCTTAAATAAAAACTTTATTTCTTTATTCTATCTTATAGAGAATCAAATAACAATATTGAAGAAACTAATTTCTCTAAATTTACACACTTTTAGAAGAGATTAAAGAAGATTACCTAAATTCTAATCTATAATTACATACTGTGTTAAATAAATTTGTGAGTATTATCAAGTAGCAAAATCAGTATCTATTCTTTATCTGATATCCTTTCTTTGCAATTGTGTAAATCTAATGTTTGTATTAGAAGTGGATCTATGATTTGAGTTCAAGTTAAATCTGTCAAACAATATAAAATAGAAGAATCTAGCTAAAAAAGAAAACTATTTACTACCAAAATAAAAAAAATTTAGATTTTCAGATTATTCCTAATTGAAAACAAGAAAAGCTAATAAAAAGAAACATAATTTAGCATATAAACATTTATTAAAACATTTTAAATAGAAACTTAATTTATTACATTTGTTAAAATTTTACAATAGCATTTATAAAATATGATTTTTTTCTTAAAAAAAAGAAAAAATAGAAGAAATACATTTTAAAAAATGCTTGATAGTTTTAAATAAAAAATTTCAAAGAAATGCTTATTCAAAATATTTCTCATGAATTTTTTCATTTTATAAATTTGGATTTTTTTTATATATTTCTGCGGTACAGTTAAGTAATATGACTTCGGCCGGCAACTAACGGCCGGCATTATAGAGTGTGGCTGAAGTGCAGTTGGTTGCGCTACAAACATAGATTCAGGATTGCGATCTGCCTATTCTGGGTTAGCATTATGCCATTGTGATACCTGTACTATAAAACTCAAATAGACACATCTTTTTTGCTAACGCGTCTTCCTTCATTTACCTCAATATCATAAATACATCTCTAGAAATTCAGGAAATTATTCAAAAGCTCTTAGAAAATAAAAATGTAGGCGTAGCTCCTCTAGTGAAACTAATAGATAAAATTAATAAGATTTGATGGGGCTTTATGCTCAGGACTTTGTACCTATTGGGATTCTTAGTAGGAGTAATGCAAGTACTGAAATGAATACGTTTGTTGGGATTCCTAGTGAATATCATGGAATATATCATTATATTTTTTTAGCTAATTCTGGAGGAGTTTACTATGTATCTTTCTTTGCATAAATAAAAAATTATCTATTGGTGTATTCCTGTATCCGCCAACAAATCTTATTTTTTGTCTAATGTGCTTACTGGGAATTATTATTTTATTTCTCACCTAGTTATTGCTTTCTATAGGCTGATATCAAAAAAGTAAATAGCTTGTGAAAGAAAGCTAGTAAAGCAAGAAATATATCGTCATTACCAGTAACATTGATAATAAAATCTACAGTTCGTAATATTTGACCAGAAGACGATTGCCTTGGGATCCATTTGCTCCTATAAATGTTCGAATCATTTGCAAGTAGAGACAAAGTGCAACGAATGTGTCCCAAGAGAGAGTGTTTATAATGCAGAGATGTACAGAATCCTGCATAACTGGTTTGCAAAGATGTATGGGTTTGAAATAACTGATCAGTGGCATCTAGAAGAAATTAGTAGTGATGGAAACTGGCACCACCTTTATTGTGATCTAACAATAAAGAGACCTGACAATCATCATCCCTCAGCCATCCTAGAGCTTATAGCAACAACTTATGTCCTGAAAATTAGGAAGCACTTTGATCGTGTGCTAAAATATGCCGACCAGCTTTGCCCTGAAGAAGTTTGGATCATGCATTTCTCCAGAGAAAATTTTGTTGTTATTGACCATATTGATCGTGCAAAAAGCTTCAGGAAAGGGAATAAATGTCGTCCACTTCTGGCATGATAAAGAGTTCATAAATATAAGGATAAGTGCCAGATTTCGGAATGCCACTGGCAAGCTTTTCGAAATTATTGATGAGCCAATTCTTTCATTGTTGTATTTTATTTTTTTTTTGTATTAATAAAGCATCCTGGTGCAGTGTTGGTAAATTTCAAGGTCATTTCCCTTTTTTTGAGATCACTTTGTATATGATCACGTGATAGATTTCATAGTAAAATTATCACATGATTAGGTCATTTTAAGGTCACTTCAAGGTCATTTGCCAATACTGTCCTGTTGGGGGTCCCGATGAATTTTATTACAAGCAAAAACCCAAATTTTCTTTCTACGGATTTAAGAACAATCATCAAATGTGAAAGTAGATTAATTGATCTTAATTGTTACCATAAGATGACAAGAAATTTCAAATAATTTCATCGTTATAAGAATCGTAATTTAATAAATAATTTTATAGAATTCGTTTTCACTAAATTCTTTATTTATAAATTTGTAAATTCTCTACTTACTTTCATAAATTATAGGTCTAACGTCATTTTATAATGTTTTTTATCAGAAAACTCTCAATCTAGTTGATCAAATAACATTGTTTGGTTCCATAATTTTTACTGCTTTTACTACATATTTAATTCTTCCCGATATACGATTTCTCAATACAATAGCGAATCATTATATGATTATCTTTATATACAAATAGAAAAAACGGAAAAAAGGCTTTCATCCCTTCTAAACCCTCAATCGAGCCGAATTGGGCAATTCTAGATTCGGTATTGGGCGAGTTTTGGCAATAGACATGTTTCGGAGGTTTCGAATTAGGCCGAATCCCGAAACCCTAAAAAGGTCCCAAACATTTCGCCTTACAAAACAGTTTTGCGTCCCGATACTAATCAATTTTCAAAAAAAATGGTACAAATAAATAAAACCGTTAGATTGATCAGCAGAATCGACGGGATGCCGCTAAAACCTGGCGTTTGTGAAAACTCAAGGTCACGGTCATTTGTGACATTTGCGTTTTCCTCACATGGGATAGATCCCGCAATTTTGCGCGTTTTTGTTTAGTTACTCGTGTTGTTTAAATATGAAAGGCGCGGAAAATACGCGTTTTTTTTTTGTCATACAGATGTTACGTTTTAGGGGATCTCACAAATAAAGGTTTTATAAATTTATTTGTAATTAATTAAAAAAGAAAACACGAATAAAATATATAATTGAATGGAAAAAAAATTATATTACAAAAATGTAAACATCAATTTAGTAATAATTATTATTTTTCCTCTTCCTATTCACCTTTCACTACTACATAATTCACGAAGAAATTTATCAAATAATCTAAGTTACAAATGAATTTTTTATCGCTACTTGCATCTCCAAAAAACAATCCTTTTTGTGTAATATAAATAATATTTGGGGATGAAATTTAAAAAGAAGAAAAAGTATTACGCGCGGGCAATTTTTGTAACGCCCATGTGACAAGTAAACAAGGATTGCAATTTCCGATGATCTAGTTAAATATTGGTTAGCGTGTTCAAGTTAAGATTGGAAAGGGCGTTCCTAATTAATAAATCGCTGCGTAAAAATGATTATAATTGCTGCGCGTCGACAATCAACATTAATATTTATGGTTATATGGTTATGGAAAACACCACATGATGTTAATTTGTCATTATGACATTCGGTCAAAACCGAAGTGAAAAAGAATCACGCGATCATTTATTTTGGAACAATATCTCGTGATACAACATTCTCTATTAAATTAAAGTAAACAAGAATAACGTTTTTTAGTTATCTTTATCACATTATTTCGACGACGTAATCGCTGTGCAAGGGTGCCTAGAAAAGTCGATTTTAATCTTTCTCACACAATGATATCCAAAACTATATAAAGAAATCGCGCATGTGTACTTGTACTTTGCTTAATATGGATCATTATTGAAAAAAATTTTTTTTTTTTCCTCCCTTGTTTCCCTTGTTAGTCTCTCCTTGTTTTTTTTTTCTTTCCACGCGAAAGGTTGTTTATTTTTTTTTGGTTATTTGATGAAAGAAAAGTTTTTTCTTTTCGTTTACACGCGATACAGTTTTATGTTATTTTGATCCGGTTGTGTGAAAATATTTTATAACCCGATATTAAAAAAAAGTGAAAAAGTTTTTATTTCTTTTTACAAATCATAAGGCTTTTGTCCTTTACGTTTGTCAAATAAAAAAAACTTTTTAAAGTATCCAATAGTTTTCTTTTCTTAAAATAAAAATTTTTTTTAAATATATAAAAAAAAAAAAAAAATTGGAAATAGATAACGATAACGTATTTACCAAGCTACGATATGAATAATCCTAATGAAAATCAAGCTATTGATATTAATAACGCTAGAATCTCTAATGTGACCGAACCCTCAAATGCTAATAACTTGATAAACGATCGAAATAGTCAGAATTTGTTTAACTGGGTATGAAAAGAAAAAAACCTTAATTTGATTAATTCGAGCTTTTGTCTTTTTATTTTATTTTATTTAAACTGATCGATGTAATAATGATTTCCTTTTTTGGCAACGTATATCAATAGTGTGAAGAGGATGGGGAATTTGAGTTTGATGATGAATTTCCTAGGATTGTCAGAAATCAAACTGAAGTTGTACAACAAGGAGGTGATCATCATGAATCTCAACCACCGCTGCAATCTGCTCAACTTGAATTGGTCGATAATGATAGTGATTTCAATTTTGAGGGAGATGGAATCATTGGTTCGAGGCAAATTTCTTCATCAATTATTAATAATGATCAAGTAACCACAACTATAACAACTGATAAGAATGTCATAGAAGGGCAAAAACAAAATGACGAAGAGGAGGTTGGTTCTTCGCAACCATCTCCTATTAATCAGGATACTTTTCAAAATTTGGATGATTTGATGACAGACGAAATTGGTAAAATAAATCATGGTAATTTATGTACTGCACAAAATAATGAAGTTCCAGTGCAATCAGTTTTGATTGATCAAAAGGATGTTGTTACTTTAGAAGATGTGATTACAAAATCTCAATCCCCTGAAAAAGTTCTGAAGTCTAAACAAACGCCACAAAGAGGCAGACAACGGAAGAGTGCAAAGAAAACAAGAGTTGATGCAGAAATAATGATTTCAGCTGCTGAAAACACTAAATCGTCACCATTCAAATATAAAAATGATCAAGCCGATCAGAATGAATATTTGTCAGGTAAAAACGATTTCTTTTTTTAATCCTTCTGATCTTAATCGATCTAATTAATAACTTTTCATCTATATTACTTTTAATGTTTTAGCCTCAGAGAATGATCCAAAAACCAAATCTGGTAGAAAGGTTCAAAGGCCAGAGTATTTCAATCCTACAATTTTTGGATATCGCAAAAAGCTTGCATTGGAATCTAAAGACTTTGTCATTAATACTTCAAAGAAAACATATAAAAAAACTGGTATGTACTACGTTATTCACCCTATTAATTAAAGGAAAAAAAAAATAATATTCTTAACGTAAATCGTCATTCTTCATTCAGGTAAACGTAGAACCAAGCACAAGCTTAAAAATGCGAATTTTCCACTTTCTGAAAATAATCCTGAGATCTCATCAGAAGATAAACAAATGTATGCGGTAGATGCATCAACGAATTCGCAAGACTTAATACCGTTACAAACATCAAATGGATCGATTCTTTATGATCCAAACGATCCATCTACAATATATGTTGATCCTGAAGATGATAACATAGTATGTGTTTTTTGTTGTGATGGAACTTCTGAAAAACACAATTGGATCGTTTTTTGTGACAAGTGTGATGCACCCTATCATCAACGTTGTCATAAACCCACGATAGAAGATAACGTGGCGGAAGATTCTCATTCAGAGTGGATATGTTCAAATTGTAAAAATATGCCTCGGTTAAGTAAACGAATAAAAGTTGACAAAAAGAATCATGAAATTCATGAGATTTACGAGGATAAAGAAAAGTTACGTGAAGTTACAAAACCATTGCCAATTGGTGCAGTGCTGACGAGAGAACAGGTACTTACATGCTATTTTATGTGAATTAATCAAACAGAAGCGTAATAACATATTATTAAATTTTTAGAAAGTAGAATATCTTTCGTCTTTATCGCAAGATGTTTTGGTAAACCTTTTATTGTTAGCAGAGCAAATGGAGCCTAATATCCCATTGTATCCGGCAAACATTTTGAGAAAATATACTACATCTAACATGTTATCTAGCAATATTGAAACGGATGACACAAATCGATCCCCTCAAGACACAGGGGAGTTAGTAGTGGATGCACCTTCGTCTGGTTTATCGACAGCAGAAGTTTCAAACCTATCAACATTGGACATATCAACAAATCTGAACCCTGAAAATATTGAACCTGCACCTCAGAATAATTCTGACCAAGATGCTCAACAAGAACCTATAACTCCTGATTCAGAACCAAGTTTACCTTCAAGCAGTTTGAAAGAAATTACTGAACATAGTAAAGATTCATACTTAAATCTGTACATAAAAGCAATGTCCGAGATCGGAAATCCTAACGGCAGTACTGCACAAACTATGCATGCCTGGATTAAAAGGTTTGTTTGTTCAATCGATGTCTTTGACCTTTTTTTAAAATCCCCCAACATTAAGATTAACTGAATATCGTAAATCTTATTAGCAATTATAATGTACCGGAGAACTTTTCCGCACGTGCAAAGAAATCTCTTCATTATGCCGTTCATAAGGGCATTTTCATAAAGAACAGTAGGATGACATATAAATTTAATCCCGATTATATTAAAGTGAGTTTGTGAGTTTGGTATTTAAACGAAATATAACATTATTTAAAATTCCTATGATCCTTAATTATTATAATTATATTTTTCTTCATAGGCGGTCAATATAAATGATCATACAACTGCAACTCCAACTCAAAATGCGGGAATAAATGTTAATGAAAATGATGGTACATCTTACAAAGAACTTACAGCAGGATTGCAGAATGATGGAGAAACACCTGGTATTGAAAAGCGAAATTCTTTAGCAGAAATCAAAGATTTTAATTTTTATACAAATCAAGAATTCTTTCTTGACTCAATTTTGGATGCGAATCTTCTTGGTAAAGGTGAAGATACTTATACGCCATCAACTAGCTCCAGCCTGACGAATACGGATAATCATAATGCAGAGAACGATAACAACGTTTCTATTACGGATCAATATAATCAAACATCGGCATCACCTGAAAAGCAACCAGCACAATCAATATCGAGAATACAAAAACTTTCGGTTAATACGCCGATGATGATGAATAATGAACAAACGCGTTCAGATATTCGACTTCCACCATTGGCACCTAAACCATCGATTGACGTTCTTCCATCGATAATCAGGAGTAGTCCTGTTCATTATCAACCATCGCAGCAAATCACCAACCGTCAAAATGAATTAATTTCCAGTTCGATTGGAGGTAATAATTATTTTTCATATTCAATAATTCAACCGCCACAAGTTCTTCCAAAGAAACGAATTTTACCATTACCTCAAGTTAATAATAATCATAATACCACAAAAATCCGACCTTCCTCTCCGAATTATTCTATTTTAATGCCAACAGTTATCAGAGGTGGTAATCAACTATCGCAACAGCCACATCAAATGTATGATCATACTAAAATACGAGCACCATCATCATCGATTCCTTCACTTCAATCATTGCCAACGATTCATAATTCAACGACAATGCCACCATCACCACTGCAACAACACACACTGCAACAAGCCTGGCCAGCGTCATTCAATTCATTTTATATGGCTCCACAAACTAGTGATAACCAATATACAACTTTATTTGATAATACTTTTTATGATCCCACTCCTCAACCATCGCAACAACATCACCAACAACATAATAATGTGGTTAATGATCTACACCAACAGCAACAGCATCATAATGAAAACAATTCTCTGTTTAATAGAATAGGTGGTCAACAAGACAATCTTGGTACTTCAAGGTCTTCTTTATCGATGTAATAACGAAGATTGACGTATATTAATGACGTTTCTTTAAAAAAAAGAAAAAAAAAGAAAAAGCAACAGAGAATGGAAGTACCGAGACGTTTGTAATAGTTTTGTTATGGAGATTTTTTTTTTTTTTTTTTGAGATTTCTTTTTTTGGTGTATATAATGAAAAAAAAAAAAAAGTGTAAATAATAATCAAAAAAAAAAAAAAATTTAAATAAATAAAATCATGAAACTTAGAAAATTTTCTATGTTAAAGTATTAACTTTAACGAATCGGTGAAACATTTATTAGTTAGTGGATGCTTAAAATTTTAATAATTTATTAATTAAATTAATCTGCTTCTTAATATTGTCATGATGAAGCAACCCTCGTATGGCCTGGAGTTTGGAAACTTTTTTATTTCTCATTGAAGAAAAATTTTTCTTCTACTGATAAGAAATTAAGATATTCTTTATGTAAACGGCATAGAATTGCCAATTTTAGTAATACAATAAGGGATATATTATATTTATTGAAAATTGAACGAAAAGCTTGGCGATCCTTTCTCTTGTCTCCATATTTTTTGTTTTAATAAATTTACAATTTACGCGGGAAAAAAAACAATAAGAGAAAAGGACGAGGAGATTTGTTTGGTTGATCTGATTACATAAAATGATAATCATGACAAACAAACAAACGAACTTTAATTTTAATGATTGTATGCAAATATTTTAATGCAAATATAGTAGTAACATTCATAGAAATTTTAATTCACTGTAACACATTCAATGTATTAAGTTAAATAAAAATTTTGAAGCAAAAAATATTAGTTAAAAAAAACTCTTTCTCCTTTCACCCCGAATTTCTAAAATTTTAGAAATTTACTGAGAAAATAAAATTGTTTCGCTATAAACTTTTATTTAAAATTTTACAACTCTGTTAGCCAGTTCTTTAGCTCACTTCTTACAAACAGCTTAAAACACTTGAAAGAGTTTATTTATTTGATAAAATTTTTACAAAATGGTTAAAAAATCTTCAAAAACCTCTGTCAACAAAATTAACAAAGGTCGCTACAAATTTCTCAAAAATAAGCAACCTGAAGCTAACGGCTCTTCTCGCTCTGGAGAAAAGCCCAACCCATCCTTGGTCACTGACAAGGATATTGTCGACGATACTTATGTCAAACAGTCTACCACGCCACCCAACATCCTCGACACTCAAGAATACATTTCTATCAAAGACGATACAAATATGAAAACTGAAAACTCTGACTTTATTGTTATTTCTCGTCCTTCTCTTTTTGCTTGCGCTGCTTCCATTAGCAAAAATACCAAGGAACTCCTTACCATAAATTATCCGCATGATTAACAATGTATTTGCGCATGACGATGCATTCAGAAAGCTGAATGTACGCTGTGTAAATTTTGTACGTTCTGCAGTTATCTATTTTGATAATGCAGAATCTATGTAAGCTGCACTTCCTACCCAACTTCCTGAATTGGGCATTGAAAAATTTGTGGACTATACTGCACATAAGAATAACACTCAATTCTAAAATAGAACTTTACATGTTACTGATATTTACCTCAGTCTTAAAAAAGAAACGATCACTTTAATTTTTTCCAAATACGGTACTATTACAAACATCCACATGCAGACCAGGGACCTATGGTAACATGCATTTATTACCTATGACAATCCAGATGTAATCAAATTGTTCTACACTACATGGTCTCGTTATATTTACAATGATTGTGTCCGCATATACCCTGTATGCTTCTCACCAGAATAAGTCAAAGAGAGGAATGAATTCAGGGTTAAATTAACCAACCTTTCCTTTGAAACTTCCGCCTGTGACCTTCAAAATATTATGCTTGCTGTAAAAGCAAAATCTTGCTATATCCCCTGCTCTAACAATTACAAATCCAGACCATTCGCCATACTTTATTTTGAATTGGCTGAGGACTTAAAGAAAGCCATCACCAATAATTACGCTTTTGGTAACAACAAGTTGCATTGGTGCGTAACTGACTCCAAATGCTACCATAAATGTGACGTAGTTGACCACATCATAATGAAATGCCCTATAATTTTAGAACAAAAAAATCAACAGATGAAGTTGACGAACCTAGACCTCCTAGATCTAAACTGCCTTCCGTTCAACGACTTTACAATCGTTTCAAACCTGTTAGATCTCGCTCCTTCATCATTAAAAACACCAACCAAAAGAAGAATAACCAACAAATCCCTACCCCTCCAAAACTAAACTCCAATAAAGGTAAAGGACTACAAATAGTCGATGACTCCATCCACAACCCTTAGAATACCTCATCTGACGAAATAAACAAAAAACTTGATATAATCCTCAACATGTTAACAAAAATGTAAAAGGATATGTCTGAATTGGAAGCTCGTATCTCAAAGTTAGAAAAGCATGAATTTAACTCAGACTCCATCTCAATCCTTTCCATCACCAACATCTCCCATAAACCTGCTTCACATAACCTGGTCTTGAATTTCAATCAAAAAAAATATACTCGCATTTCCAATTTGTCATCTGATGAAAACACCTCCTCAACCCTAAACCTGTTGATCCCAAACTTCAAGAATATATGGATGAATAAAATGCAATAATTGGAGACCTTCACAAACAACTTAAGGAGGCAGTGGCTCAAATCATCATCTTTACCAATAAGATTTCACAATAACTTCCTTACCCTTAACCAATATCTCTAATCATGATTAATAACAACAATAATAATCTTTATAATTCTGATAACGATACACCCACGATCTTAATTCAACAAAATGATACATCATCACGTGATCCCACTATCTCTTTTGCTACACATAACGTCAATTCTCTTCAATGTTCGATCAAAAATCAATTTATCAATGATTCTTTTGCAGATTTCAACACTGATTTTGTTAGTCTTACAGAAACTCGACACAAAGCAGATCAAACCTTTCGCAACTTATCTGATCCTACTTACACTTTTTTTTGGAGTAACAACATTAAACCGCACGCTGATGTTAGCATTCTCATCAAAAAATCTTGGGCAATTTATGTTCAAAAAGCTTTTCTAAACCATGACAGATTTATTTACATCGACCTGTATTTAGCAGGCAATGTTAAGCTTAGAATCTTTTGTATTTATCTACACGCTTTTACAGAAACGTGAATCAAGAAAGAATGAATAAAGTTACACAAAGAAATTATTACCCACATCAAAGAAGGTCTTAGGTCTGATTTCAGAACTATAATTCTTAGTGACTTTAATGCTAACTTAGATAAATATTGGTCACTCATACGTAATGGTAAATCGATTCATTGACAAATGGATTTCTATCAAAAGCTTTTTGCCCTGAATTTTCTTGACCTTTATGATACATGTCATGATACACCCCAACCAACATACATTTCAGGACCTTATAGCTCCTGAATCGACACTATTTTTACTTCACCCAATATCATCTCAGAATTTTTATATTCTTATATTGACACTTCTGACCTTTATTCTTCAGATCAAAAATCGTTTTTGCTTCTTTCTCTGATTTTTGCAAACAATAATCTGTCAGATCTCGTAATTTACAGAACAAAAAGCAGATTCTAAACCTAAAAGCAATGAACAATGCCAAATGGATAGAATTTGCTGCACATACCAACCTTCATTATCGCTATCATAATTTTGATTGTTTTAATAGCCTTTCTAATAACAAAACCAATATGAACATCCTATGGGTCTAAATAAAGACTGCTATTCTCACAGCGAATCACAGTTGTATCCCACAAGTTTGAATCTCTCCCTAACAACACCACAAACATCCTTTTGAATAACCTGACTCTTTTATTAACGCTCGCAAAGTTGCTTCTTTCCTATTGAGATTTAAAAACACCTTCATTCAACAACAAATCTGGCCTAACGTTACCGACTGGCAAGCTATTAAATCAGTTGTAAACAAATTAGTCCTAGCGGTTAAACTTCCCACTGTCACTCTCCCCTTCTCTTTAGATACTTCTAATGTCCGTAATGTCAAAAAACAGCTCAAAGACATTCACAAATCACTCTCTGCTCTTACTCAAATTGATGTTCAACGTATCAAAGAAAATGTTATCAAAACCTTTATAGACAAAAGATGTGACAACCTTCAAAATGATCCTTCTAAAATGATTGACTCAATTCTTAATAGAAAAAAGCATTTTATTGTGTTAAATCGCTTACTTATCATGAATAGGAATACTTCTACAAATCATTTTACAATTGATCCAGATGAAATTAAAAGCGATTCTATCAATCATTTTTAAAACTTCGCTCTTCCCTCTCACCTATGCTGCTAATGTCTTCCAGATGGATTGACCAATTTAATCCTCGAGATTACATTGATGAATCACACTACTAAAACTTAATGCAACTGCCTACATATGACGAATGGGTTGCTGTTCTCAAATCACTTTCTAATAATAAAGCTGCTGGTCCTTCAGGAATTTCAAATGAAATGCTTTCTCATTTAGGCGATAAACCTCAACAATTATTCTGAAAACTCATCTGTATATGTTTCACCTTAGGTGATGTTCCAAACAAATGGAAAATTGTCCACATTTACCTTATCCTAAAGCTTATGGATTGGAAATGTGATATAACAAAGACCAGACCAATCACCTTATTGGAAACTTATCAAAAGGGTTTTGTCAAGATTATTACTAACAGACTCTCCACAATACTTACCAAACACAACATATTACGAGGTGAAAATTTTACTGGTCTACCTGGTAGATCAACTGAAGCACCCATCAAAATTATTAATATGTTGCTTGAAAATGCAATCGAAAACAAAAAAGAAATTTAGATTCTACTTCAAGATTTCTCTAAAACTTATGATAGAGTAGACTTAAAGTTTCTTCATCTGGCCCTCAACCACATCAAAGTTCCACAACCTGCTGTTGATCTTCTGATCAATCTTTTCACCGCTAGAAAAAATGCTATCTTTACTACATATAAAACTTCAGATTACTATGATGTAAAAATTGG